ACCATAAATTTCGTCCTGATTCTGCTGGCTCAAAACTCCGGAATGAGGGCACAGATTCGGTCCACTCACGGCAAGTCACATGGTATGTAATTCAAAGGTCCGCTCCCGTTGTAGGCCTACAGTTGCGATTGAGGGGTCGACCATCTAGCTTCTGGATTTCCTCCTGTCATATGCATCCAACCATTCGTGCATAGGTCCACAGCGCCCGAGATTCAGGCTTCATCAAAAACTTCTCATCCTAGAAGGCTTGCCGCGAACAAGCTTTAGAGGTTCGGGTTCGTCGGCTTGCAGGATATCTTTTTCTGCGAGGCTTATCGGGCTTGGAGCTTGGGCCTTGGCCGTCTCACAAGGCTGGGTAGGATCAGACGTGAATCATGTCCCACCTACCAACCAACTGTGGTTCTCCGGCGATACATGTCAGTCTTCTACACACGCTACAAAGGGGCAAATCTATACTTTCTGGCCGCGGTTTCGAACCCGAAGGTATCCGACGCAAGCTCTTACACCACGCGCATCTCAAAGCTCTAAGACCAAGGTGCTTGTTGATCAGTTTGTCGATATCGGCGACTTTCTCTGGGTTGTGCTGCTCGTAGATGTTTGAGAGTAGAAGCTGGTACTTGTGGAGCATGGCCAGCACTTCCTGATTCTGTCACGCTTTATGGCGAAGGGACCCAGTCGACTGAATTTCGAATTTCGGGCGCACACAGTGCAATTACCTACTCTGTCCTGCACACAAAGTGTCACCTGCAGACTACTTTCAGCGGAGGCATGCACGGATGCAAATCGGCTCGGGCTGGCAAGATTCCGCGAGGGAAGCTCAATAGAATGATGTGCTTTTACAGTCCTTTGGCAAACATGTTGGCTGACAGAGTCCTGCCACTGATGCAATCAATGTGCTGTGTGTCAAGCACTGCGCATCTCACTGCAACACTGAACATCACGGTCGTTGAACAGCCCCACTACGCCGGAAGCCCAAAGTCAAGCTGGAGAAGCCGTCTTCTTATCTCCAGCGCGTTCTGGCTCAGGAGAGTTCTGCTCCTTCAGGATCAATCCAGATCTTCTAGATCTCAGGACATTCCCCGTTACCTATAAAGAAGGCTTAAAGCCTTCAAGAATTACGTTCAATCCCTTAAATAACCCTTGTAGATCTTGGCTTCGGCAGGCCGGTAACTAGTTCAAAATGCCAAACGACCTGACAGCCGACCTGGTAAATGCAGACCGTAAAAGCCGAGAAAGCCGTGAACCCGCTAAACCCAAAAACAACTCGTAAACCGGCAACGATAATTGGCGGTTGTCATTCAAGCGGGAATGCCTTTGTAAGTGCACCTGAAAGGATCCCTTACTGGCCCCTAAACCCTAATCCCCTGACCCTTGCTGGCCCCTTCTAGGCCCTTAACCCTTAACCCTTTCTGTTTCAGGGATTCAATTCTAGAAGGTGTGAGCAGTCGTTGGGTCGGGTGGAAGCCGCCTTCGGAAACCGGCGATGGACCATGTAATGTAGTATAATACAGTATGACACAGTATAGCATAATATAGTATAGTACAACATCATATAATATAGCATAAGAGTATAATATAGCACCGTATATGTAGCATTGCAAAGAAGGGCATGGTAAGGGTTCTGAAAGAACATCCTTTTGGGCAGTTTTCCGAGTCGGCATTAAGTTGTTCCAACGCTCTTTCATGTAAAGCCGGTTCTCCTGCTTGCTCATTGATGCGCTTTATGTCTTGTTGCATTTGTTGTATAACTGGACCAATGTAGTTCGTTGCACGGCATATGCTGATTTGGATCGGCCCTGGGTGCCGGCTCTTATGTCCTTTTCAACCGGCTTGCAACGTCACGCGAGGACAGCTGCCTCGCTCCAAGAAACCCTAGCCTAAACCCTACACCCTAAACCCTATGTCCAAGCATGTCCCATGGCATCTGCCATAACACTTGGCCGTGGCCACTTTCAACACTTGGCATCTCGGCAGGGTTGCGGCACGGATTCGGCGAAAACGTGATTGTTCATTGCACGATTTTGTGCTCCCTCCCATGTCTTCCTGGGAAAGCTCGGCCATTCACGGACGTTGGACCCTTGCGGTGGCTTCAAACAGCGACTACAGGGTCGCCTTGCTCGGAAGACTTTCGAAATAGCCCGAAATCGTGCAATCGCTTTGTGATTTTCCGTGCGAATGGATGACGGCTGGCTCCGTTGGTGCTGCGACTTGCTGTATAAGGCTGTCGTGGCATTGCATTGAGCAAGGATTTCCGGTGTCGTTGAGTTCCGGTCGGAGGCAAAGCAATCCAATCCTTCGCTCAAGGCGGCATAAATTGCCCGAACCTGCTTGCTTAGTCCGACCCCGCTCTGGCTTCCAGACCCACTTTGTTTCTTTCAATGACAGCGCTTATGACCAAAAATGTAATATAAGGACCCAGCACCGCCTCCTCCACAAGCGCATGTGTTGCCTGGCTTCGCTACGGAAGGAGCTTGCACTGGAATGATTGGACTGCCGTGTACCCTGCTAGCATATCATGTCTTCAAGCAACTTTGTGATCTGATCACATCCTGGCATGTCGTGCACGGTCGCAGTCCTACTACGCCCTGCCCATGTCCAAGAACTCCAACAGCCCATACATCTTGATTTCGATTCTGAGTTTGCTGTGCATGGAGCCAGTTCGGTTGTAGGAAGCTGTCGTCGCAGTCATGTCGCAGCTTATCTGCCTGTTCGCTTCTCTGCCTTAGACTATTTTGCACATACCATTTGGCATACACAAGCCACGTTCAGAAAGAGGAATGCAGTCTTGTTTCTGACCAACTACAAGGGAAACTCAATAGCACTATCAACACCTTCAACAATTTGAAGGAATCGTGCATCGTTCGGAGGATAACGACCACAGCGTTTTCGCAAGTTCGAAACTCAGCTAGTGCACCCCTGGAGCTAGTTACTAGTTTTGTTCAGACTGACTGCTACTTCCACAAGCTCAGCACTTGTGCTGGTGTAAGCATGTAGCGTGTGATCCGGGATAGCTCTACATTCTACGGGACTGACTTGTCGCAAATGGTGCTGCGATTCGAACCTTAGGATGCACAGTGGAATTCAGGAGCATGGCCACAGTGCTTCCCGCCAAGTTCTGCTGGATTCGTGAGCAACGCCGACTGCATTTCCCCAAGCACTGGCGCGATCCAGGAGTGCGGCACTTCTTCTTCGCCCTTAAACTGGCTGGATTCGAGAAGACGGGCAACATGCTTTCCACCAAGTAGTGGCGAGATTGGGAGTTGTGGAGGAAAGGTGGCCCATGCATTGGAATTGGCTCTCTGGGAAAGCGTTTCCAGCGGATCACGTGCAAATCATGAGACGAGAGCACGAAATATGCACTGCGCCACAGCCGGAGCCACGGCCCCTGCGGCTCCCAGACCACGTCGTGCACAGAGCCGCACGCCCACCTTAACCAATTCTCTTTTGCACCTGTAACTTAGAACCCCATAATTATATAGTGTGTACCGCACTGGGAGGGTTGAACAGCAACAGCAGAAAACACAGCAAGTCCAGGACGACCACATCTCAAACTGTTAAAGGGTAGATGAACCCCAAACAGCGACGATCACGATAACTACCAAGACCACCAGGACGACACTAGATTCACAGATATGTTTCCCAAATGGACTGGCGGGAATCAGGACGACGGCCAACATGCTTCCCGCCATACATGTACCGTCGGGATTCAGAGACCTGGCCGTGCAAGGGGCTTCCACGAACCACACACGTGGGAGTGTGTAAATAATGGGACGTGCGAAGATAGAGCGGCGCGGAATGCGCATTTCCCGCGCGAGCATGTGCACTTCGTGGACATCACCAGTTTCTCTTCGCACTTAACGTAAGAACATCATAGTGTGCACCGCGCTGTGTGGGGAATTTAGCGACTGAAGTTAGCAACATGAAGAAACAATGGCAGAAATCATGAAGTGCTTGAAATGTCCGGTGCAGTCATCTGAGCTTCACATTAAGAAACCGAGTCAAACAACCAAATCCTTGCTAGAACGTGGCTGGCTACTTTGAAACTTGCCTCTGCAATCATCTCTCGGCCGAAATCCAGCAAGGAGGTGCGCCAGCTAAAGGCGGCCTTTTGGGATCTTTATGACAGTTTGGGACTTGCAGTCGGGTGCTTGCAAGAGGAGCACTTGTACCACATACCACACCAGGTGGATCAAGCCTTCGATAATGCCAAATCACAAACAAATTGGGCCAGGCTGTTTCGGAAGAGCTTTAATACACACAAATCTTAAAGCCCGTCCCATAAATGGATGTGAAGGGCTGCCTGCTTGCTTCTGGGGCTGTCGCAAGCCGGTTTAGTGCAATTATTCGAAAGCAATGTTTTAGGGTTTTGGTGCTTGCCCTCTCGCATTAGGGATTAGTTTTGTTTGAAGTGCAATGCCCTTTCTCCGAACGCATGATCGGTTGGAAGGCCCACTCCTTTAGGAGTGTGCCTCGTGGGGAACACCAGTCAGAACATCGTGCCTGCTGCGGCTGTGCATGTTCGGCTGGGGCCGCGCACGTCTCCTGCGAATTCAGCATGGCTAGCTTGCTTCGGTGTCAAGAGCTGTGCAAACAGCAGAGATGAGCATAAGCTCAAAGCAGGTTTAACAGCTTAGCAGATTCTTCGGGAATGCACCGTGCACGAGAATCAACATAAGCGACTCCATACGCAAGTTGCACAAAAAACAATGGACTCCGTCATGCATTGAGGTTGCAGAGCAAGCTCTTCCGCACTCTGCCTGCTGCGGTTCTTGTTGTGGGGCCAGAGCAGCAGAACTCTCCTCCAAGCTTGCCGACGTCTTAATGATTCGGTTAGCTACACTTCTTTGTCGAAGCGGTCTTGGAAACTAGCAACGTTTCAGGCTTTACATATCATCTGGTAATTCCGTTCCTGCACACGCCACATATCAGATTTAAATCTGGGCATGGACGAAGTTTCAATGCTAACACGTCGTCGCACGAGCCTTCTCAGAACTCTTCAATCAGCATTCTTCCTCAACTCCACCGTACAGTGCTCCTTGGACAATACAACTTCGGAACTCCTCAGAGCTGAAGGAGCCAGGGAAATCCCCCTCTCATTTTGAAAATTAGGGGTACCTTATTTTGGGGTCCTTATATTAAGGATCCTATTATTTAGGGTACTATATTAGGGTGCCCTATTTTCGAAAGTAGTCTTCCCGCACCTGTACATCCTCCATGTCCTCATACAATCTCCGCTGAAGGGCAGTTCAAGCCCGGACCGGAAGACAGACAGACCCTGCCTTGGCCAGACATGCAGCCCCTCAGCCCATGCCCGTAATCCGCCTCCCCAAAACCAGCCGCATGTGCCACGGCACCATCTGCAGCGTCAGGCTGCTCTGTTGCATCTGTGGCCTCCGGGTCCATAGGCATGCTGCAGCTTGGGCTACGTTTCAGGAAAATTGTATCCTTGACAACCTTTGGGTCCAAATCAATCCGACACTGCTGCTGTCGCTACTGCTGCTGCCTGTTCTTGTTGCTGTTGTGGTGGGTGGTTGTGTGTGGTGGTGGTTGCTGTCGTTGGTGCGCGCAGTTCGAGCTCCCAAGCCCAATGAAGTCCCCGACCAAACATACTGCCCTCAACCCTGCCTTCCCGACACGTACTGGCTAATGTGGGGCCTTAATGGTTATAACCAAATTCCTTAGGGCTCCTTATTGGAGCTATAGCCACATCCACACTCACACCTATATATATATATATACATATAATTATTTATTTATTTATATTTAAACACATGTGTCTATGTATATGTATATATACTAGTTTGTTTTCGTCGGTGTAATTCTGTGTACATATACCTACCCCAAGGATAATCTTCTACTGATCGGGGACCCCTTATTATGATCTGTGTTCCAGGCCACCCCAAACCTTGCGAGTCTGGCCTGGCATGGCTCGGACACCAGAGGCGCGCCACCAACAGCTTTGAAGTCAATCTCCTGCTGATGGGGATTTTGGGGGCTTTCAGAAAACTTGTGCGGTAGAACACCAGGTTGTAGAATCCCTTATATGGGCACCCCTGCTTGAATTGAAAAAAAGGAACCCCCCCCCACCCCGTCTCCGCTTTTTCTGAAATCTCGGCACGGGAAGGCAGGTGCAACACGGTCTGTCGCACTGAGTGCGGTCGCAGGTGCTGAAGGGGCAAGGGCTGCGAACAGGGATACTCTCATGGGCCAGGGATGCCATATAAAGAGTATATCCGGAACGGCTGGAAGGGTGCCTGTTTATTGGTGGGTATAAGTACAGAAAGTACACTAACGGTGAGGAATGTTGTCAACACGACTAGCTACTGTATTCAGGCTCTCCCATATTAGGGCGGTGGCATGTTGCACTTGAAACAGGGCGAGTCCTAGCAGTCAGAACCCTAAGCAGCGAACCAAGCGAGAAGCCTCGAAATCTCCCCAGCCATCCACATCCTCCTCATCTTCCTGCATGGGAAGCACAACTTTTCGAATCTGCCTTCGGGTTCGAATGGGAGTGAAAGAACACGGAAAAGCGCTTGTCTCGCGGAGATTTAAACCCGGGATGTTGGGTGCAGGGTTTCTGTGCTGACTGGTAAGTCTTGCGAACTTTGTGAGGTTGCTTGAAACCCAGAGCTCGAGGCATCTTGGCTCCCGGGACCTCCCGTCTCTGATCGTTTGGGATGTTACAGAATCGAAGGCATGGAGTCCTCCATCACCAGCAGCAGCGCATGGGCGCTAGAGTGGTGAGACGCACGCAGCTTCTATAGAACCCCGCGCCCTGAGAGTGGAGGTGTAAGAAGGGTCACCGCATGCTTAGTCCTCGTTTCGTTTGTCATCAGAGTGGGTTTGTTTTTTGGCACCAGCTGTAAAAATTTGGATTTGTTATAGTCAGGACCGTGCTTCAGCAATCAGGGCTGGTAGTTGCAAGATTCCGGCTGAAACAAGCAGCCCTCATGCGGGAACTTGCGCCCCCCAGTCTAACCCTGTCCTGCATCCACAAACCAGGAGGAATGTAAACAGCAAGAGCATGCATCCGCATTCTCCGTCTTCACACTTGTTGCCGACGGGTGTGCTCCAAGAGAGGTACACCCACGATCTGGTACAATGCTTAAAAGCTGGTCTAACAGAGTGTGCAAGGGAACGAGGTAGGTCGAACCCTGTCGTCCCATGAGATAGTCGGCCAGACAACACCTGTAAGAATCGGCATGTGTTCTGCACTCTCTGCACTCTCCTACCCTTGCCAGCCTAGACATCTGAACAAAAGCCTTGAAAGGTAGCATCGTCTGATACGTGCAGCTAAAGATGACTCCAAGGAGACAGAACACCATGGGCCGTGTCAGATTTCAGCCAGCATCCAAAAAAAGCCTCGAGCATTCAGCTCTCTAGGCTCTACTTTAGCTCCGCAAGGATATCACAGGCCAGGGCAGTGCGTTTCAAACTGATTCATCTGTATGAAGTGAGAAATACCTTCCGAAGTCCTGGAACCTGCACCAGTTCGAGGCCAAGAACCCTCTCCTCCACAATTCGAGTCCCCTCTGCAGCTCCAAAGACTGGGAATGACCGCCCCTCACCAAGGGCGTGGCCAGGCTTGGCATCCCGGAAAGCCTTTGCAAAGGCAAGACTGGCTGGGAACGAAGCTCTTGGACTTTCTAATCTGCTGCTGATGGCGATGATCATGATGTTGGTGGTGGAAGATGTTGATTGTGATCGATGGTGCCGCTTGCGGTGCTAGCCGACAGTGATGATGTCGATAAAGGTGCTGTCAGCATCGTCAACGCCACCATCATGTGTGGGAAGTGGCAGCAGTGACAGCAATACACCTGAAACTGCTCGTTGGGTGACAATTCTTGCAGGTTCATGGGTAGTTAGAAGTAGGGTTATAAGTAGGGTATCTATAACTATAACCCATATTAGGGGACTTATAACCCCACTACTAACTACCCATGAACCTCCAAGTTGTGGGCTGCAACGACCAGCCTCCAGGGTGGCCACAGTTCTTCGTTCCGAGGCTCAGTTGAACAGAGCAGGAAACCCAAAGAGCCCAATACCCCTTAAAATAAGGAACCTACCTTAAATTATAGGGTTTAGGGTTTAGGGGAATCTACCTAAAATTATCGGGGCCTTGATATTCTGATTTAAGGTATATTCCTTATTTCAGGGGTATTGGGCTCTCTGGGAACGTGGGTCACAGAAACCGACTTCGTTAAACCTTAGCCTCGGTATGTGAATTCAGCCCACTCATGTGGCGACCCGGTGCTTCCATGACTAGCGTCTTCTTGGCATGTACATACTTACTTGTTTCTGATGGAGCCGTAATTTAAAAGAACAGAAAGTAACGGCAGTCAGCATTCCCAGGATGCTTCAGGGACCCTGAGCTGAGTGGGCCTCGTTCCATCCGGAAACGTTTTGATGGTGCTCCTTAATCGGGTCATTGCGACCCGCACGTCGACACGAACGAAAAGAAACCTCACTACGTTTAGAAGGGCGGTTGAACCCTCAAGGATTCTGAGCCCTTGAAGTATCTCGCGGTCGCAGCCGCAGCTGCATTGGATTCGTGTCAACACGGCATTCTCAGGTTGACATCATACAAGTACCCCGGCACCTGCATCGTGAAGGTTCGCGAGGCCTGGATCGATGCAGACACCAGTCAGTCGAAGGCCGCCAGAAGAAACAACACTGCCCCTAATGGTGACAGCGACTTGCTCACAGAATAGCTGGGGTCAGCATGCACACCTTCACCTATCCCCTGTCACAGCCGGGTGCCTGTCCCGGCAACCTTCCAAAGAACTCGCTGAGCCCTACTGGAGCGAGCCTGCGACATGTTGCCTTCCAGTGCCCATGCTTCAACTCCTTCCGCTTGCAACATCTTGGCCAGCGACTTCGCCTGCAGGGCCAGTGTTGCAAGCTTCTCGTTTGATGGGCTGAGCATTACTTCGGCAAGGAACTCATGGGCAAACTGCAGGATTCCACAGACCAACGCATCGCTCCTTCGCATTGAACTCGCGGATTGCTGGATGAGACTCAGTGCAGAGATTCTCACGATTCGTAGAGGAAGCTCGACAGAGCACGGCCAAAGCTTGTCAGATTTGGGCGCTCGGGCGATCGCAGGACAAGTTCGCGTGAGTTTTGTGCTGAAAAGCAATCTGATTACAATTGGAAGACCTACAGAAGTTCTCAACACAAAGCCGCATAAACACTGCATCAAAAGCTCCCAGCCCCTTTGAGGAGGAGCTCCCGAAGCCAAGAGCACGGGAACCATCGACCAACCCCCGGACCCGCACTAGTTTGGCGATCGACGACTGCCTGCATGTAGACACCCCTCCGCCTGAAACAGCAAGAACGCCTGCATGCGAACTCCAGAATTATGAGGAAATGTGTAGGTTTCCGGTGGCTACGGACACCAGGCCTCCCGCTTGAAGAGGACGAAGATCAAGACCTCTTCGGAGACCCGGCACTTAAGCACCGGAATTTAAATCTTCAAGCGCTACAGTTAAAAGGCGGGCCAGCGCCGCGCATGTACACTCTAGCCGGAGGCGCCGCGGTAATTAAATGCTGTGATTTCTCTGGGTTTTCAAATTCCAGGCAAGACTCAATCAAGCTCAAAGCCTACATAAAGCATGTCTGTTGAACATGGAAGTGTCAGCCAGTAAAGCTGCACTGGCTGCAGTCAGAAAATCCTTCGCCATAGGTCTGCTATAGACAAAGCCTAGGTCCTGGTTAGAGCAGCGCTTCTGACAGCAATCTCCACTAAAATCCGGCATCCTCAAAGGCGCAGGGAGACCAGTGAAAGTGGCACGTACCGTCATGCGCTCCTATGTGAAGATCGTACTCTGAAGCACTGAGCATCCTGTTGGTTGAACGCACTGTCTCCTCGAAACATCCTGCCTGCCGACAGGGTTCACCGAAGAACGATCTAGAAGTTTTGGACAACCCGTAGTACCGCAAAAATCCGGGCGGTCTTCGGTCTTCGTCACCAGTGCCTCCTGGGCAAAAGCCCGGCGTAGATGCAACACCTCCAGCCCCTGCTCATGAGAGCAATGAATCAAAGTCTCGAACAAAGACCCCAATATGAATCAGAAGCTGTCGATTCTGATAGGGACCTCCACTGTAACCCTAAACCCTAAACCTTAAACTAATGACTAGTTATCCCCGGACTTTTGGATCCCACTGGCTAACTCGCGACTGCCTTCGCCGCTGATCCAAACTCTCGAAGCAAGTCTCGAAGCCGCTTCGCTCGCGATGCCTCTGGGATCAGACGAACGCCTCCCTGGGGTTACACAAGGAACTAACCCAGAGACTCCAAAACCCCTTAATTAAGGAATATACCTTAAATTATAATAGGGATCCCTAATATGATTTAAGGTATATTCCTTAATTAAGGGGTTTTGGAGTCTCTGGGAACCTACCCAAACTTGCAGATGTCTGGACTCTTGAAGGGCTTGGATGTACGGTTTCGACTGTTTTTTTCGGCTTGGGGTTGAGGGCTAAACTTACAAGAGTTCAACACGGAAGATTTCCGGAAGATCCTAAACCCTAAACCCTAAACCCTAAATCCTAAACCCTCAACCCTAAACCCTCAACCCTAAACCCCTAAACCCTAAACCCTAAACCGAGTTCGGAGCGGGTTGAGAGCCTTTGGCCGGTCTGCCTAAGATCACCCGAAATTTAGGGGTTTAGGGTTTAGGGGTTTAGGGGTTTAGGGTTTAGGGTTTAGGGTTTAGGGTTTAGGGGGTTTAGGGTTTGGGTTTAGGGGGTTTAGGGGCTAAAATTAGGCTACATACCTGCCTCACGG